TATATATATATATATATATATATATATATATATATATATATACTATATTATAAAGTATTTGACAAAAACTTTTAAAAACCATTTTTTATACACGAAGTACTATTTATTGATACAATTTATTACAACTTTTTTCAATATTACAAGTAAATAAGGCATAAATACAACATATTAGAGCTTCATACTTGAATTTGTGTAACTAACTACAGATAAACATAATCAAATACTGGATAAATATTTCATTTTAAATATCAAAAAATCTAAAATATAATTAGGATAATCATTATCTTCTAACATAATATTTAATTATTATCTTTATAAAAATATATATTATTAAACCAAAAATAAATTATTTTCTTCTTAAACCTAAATTAAATTATAATAAAAAAAAGTTGAATTAAAGAAATTACACAACAAAACAAGAACTTTTAAATAGGTAATTTGATACTAATATCGATATGTTTTTAAGAAAAATTTAAGATATTTTTAAATTTATATTTTATTCAAAAATAAAAACATTATCGTTTTTCTCAAACCACATAAAATCATATTATAACATTGACAGAGGACAGAATAAAACGAAACATTAAAATCTAGATGTATCTCGCTATATTGTGCGAGTACCCTTCTAGTTATATTATAAAGCATTTGAGATGAACTCCAAAAATACTGTTTTTCAGGTATAAACTACTTAAAATTCAAGATTACAAATAAATTGTATGTACGTACAATTAAATTATTTAACCTTTATGTTTGAATTCGTAAAAACTAACCGGAGATTAACATAATCAAATAATAGATAAACATCTTATTTTAAGTATAAAAAATTTAAAATATAATTGAAAAAATTATTGATTCTAATAAAATAATAAATTATTATCTTTATGAAAAAATTATATTAATAATCCGAAAATAAATTACTTCGTTATCAAACATAACTCAAATTATAATAAAAATCGAGTTAAACAAATTAGAAAAAAAAAAAGAAAAAAAAAAGATAACGTTTAAATAGTTATTTTGATACTAGTATCGATATATTTTTTTAATTTTTTTTTGAGATCTTGAAATTTATATTTTATTCAAACATAAAACATTATCGTTTTCTTAAAACCACATAAAATCGGATTATAATATCAGTGAAGATAAAATATAAAATGAAAAATTGCTAAAAATGTATCTCATTATATTACACAAATATTTTTTTAGTTTTTTTAAAGAAAAATACCTATTCGGTTATATTGTAAAAAGTTACGTGTGTTGCTGCCAAAGCATATCTAATTTGACACCCGAAACTCGAAATGACAATCTTGTTTCATGTTTGTTCAATTTCCATACCTCTCAATAATAACTTTATGGTTTTATGCGGGGTATAAATCCTATTTTATAGCATGTCGTGGTGAGGGTAGGGGTGGTTGGTGTTGATTAAATTGGATGCAAATGATGGAATTCAATTCCTTTCATCATGCCAAAGAATGATGAATTCATTGATTTGTGAAATTTAATGGAATTATCCATCCATTTAAAGAAATGAACTAAACATAGGAATTGGTCATTCCAATTGCATCAAATTCCGAGAACTAAAAATCCCCTAAAATTGGTTATACATCAAAAAGAGTTTAACGCTTTACGAGTTTGAGACATTTTCAAGTGATAATACTATATGACTATAAAATAGGACTTATTGATATTTTTTAATACGAGTGTCATCAATCTCTAGGTTAATTCCTTGTTTTTTTAGATGCGAGACCGTGTTTTTGAGTGTAAATCATCTCTACTAAGAAAAATTTATGTTACTATTATAGTTTCAAGAAATATATGGATGCATCAAACAAAACAATGACACACCATTCACACTTGTTAGAGTTTATTCAAGGTCCGAATCCAAATCAACTTTCTAAACCTTTTTTAGTATTGTTTTACTGAAAATACCATTTTTAAAGTATTTAAAAGCTACTAATTTTAGAAATAAGATACAATGAAGGTGATCATTTTTAGGTTTGGGACGGATTTGAACCAAGTCTAACTTAGTTTTCTCAAACTTTTCATCTCAATTTTCTTGTACAACATGCTTAGTGTGTGTATATATATCTATATCTATATATTGAGAACAAGAATGAAACGGTTAAAATTATGTCGTTTAGGGATCGTTTACCAAACGCTTACCTAGGTAACCATTTACCAAGTCACATTACCTCACCGGATGAATATGGTAAGGACTAAGAATCTTACCCGGTAAGAACGAGACAAGGACCAAGAGTCTTAACTGGTAAGTGAGGGCGACGACTCTTACCATAGTAAGAGTTTACCGAGTAAATTGTCGCATCCAATGTCGTTTTGGTGGACTAAAATCTTATCTGATAAGAGCAACTCCAATCGAACGGCAATTTTGTCGTTCTCTTGGATCCAATCGTCCGCCAAAAACACTAAACTTTTGCCTGCGGGTGAAAACAAACGGCATATTTGTCGTGAAGAAGGTGAACGGCATTTTTTTGCCAAATGGGTGGTCCCCACCACCTTTCTTAAATAATTTTTTTAAAATAAATTATAAATAAATAAATAATTACAAATATTAAGTTTTAGGTTTTTATATTTATTATTTATATATATATATATATATATATATATAATAAATTATTAATAACACAAATATGATACCGAATAAACGTAAACGTATTTTATTAATGGAAATTTTAAAAACTGAAATACATAAATTAAAGGGTCTAATCGTCTCCGCTAAGCATAAACTGACTAAAGCTTCCTGTTACGTTTTGAGATCCTTCGGGTTGGTCTTGAGCTCCTCCAAATTGTTGATGTTGAGATAYTMGATATTGAGATGCTACAAATTATGATCCTTGTCCAGACATATGAACTTGGGGTTGCGCTCTCTCTCTCGCTATTCGAATTTTCTCATTTTTTATGAACTCATATCACACAGGATCAGTGATAGAGTTTAGATCGATGCACATAAGTTTGTCATCCGCCAACCTTGCCTCTAATGCAAGTTTCTGAGCTTGAAGCTCATCCTTCGCATCATAACTTCATTGGTTTTGGCTATTTGTTTGCTCATTTTTTGACTAGCCTTGACTAAGGTTTCTACCTTATATTATCAGATTGGAGCCTTGATTTTGTCTTTTTCACACCAATTGGTCTTTGAGTACCTTCTACGTCGTGAATAGTCAACGACGGTAAACCGGCATCTGTCCCAGACGATGAACCAGGACCGGAAGAAAGTGATTGATAAGGACTTTGTCGTTGATACTGAGTTGATACAGTGACATTTGATAAACTCTCGGAGTCTTTCAAGATGTCCCAGACATGATCAAACTTAAAACCCTTCTTATAGGATCCATCAAGTTTTACCAGCTCTTTCGCTTCGTTCATCTATGAAAAATACACGTAATATTTAAATTAATAAAACAATGATCAACTAAAATAATAAATACTTATGATATCTTGTTCAGAAGCACCACTTGAATTACTCATTTCAACTTGATTGATACACCCTCACATTTTTTTTGCAAGCTTTTAGAATGCAAGACATTCTCGTTTCCAATGATCTTCTTGGTCGATGATTGGTTGCGAACGGTTCAGTTTGGTGATAAAGAGTTTCTATTCTTGACCAAAACTTATCTTTTGATTGGTTTCTACCTATTATTGGATTTTGAGTTATATCAAGATAACAATGACATAGTTGTATGTTTTCGCTATCTTTGTAGTATGAAATTCGGCTTGTTGAAAACATTTTTATGAAAAGACTGGTAATATCTCAATGAAAATGTGTGTGATTTAGCTTACCAAGTCGCCCCCTATTTATACACAAAATTTTCAGTTCACTCCAAATGAAGACAGATTGGACAATACACTGGCAAGATTCTTCTGAAAAGTCTGGTAAGAATTGACAACACCACTTATTCTCACTATAAAACTTGAATCACAGCTCAATGAAAATAACTCAACTATATTTTTCAATCTTCTTTGTTGAGAAATACCACTCAAATGGCTGATAATTCGTATTCAGACGATGAGGCTTTTGATAATACACATGCCGAACTAATGATCGAGGCATTCAATCTAACGTCTGAAATGGATAATTATATCCGTAATTATGCTCAAAACAATCATGTATCTTATCGTGGTTCTATTCCTGGCCATATAGTTATCAATCGTGATCGGGAAAATGCCGATCGCATTCTCTTCAATGATTATTTTTCTGAAAATCATCGATTTCCTGAGTCGATGTTTCGTCGACGATTCCGAATGAGTCGTACTTTATTTGTTCGTATTTTGGATGTTGTCCAAAGTCATGACAACTACTTTCTCCAACGAAGAGATGGATGCGGCAAATTTGGGTTGTCCTGTTATCAAAAAGTTACTGCTGTATTTCGAATGTTGTCATATGGCGTGGCTGCAGATGCTACAGATGAGTACGTTAAAATAGGCGAATCGACGGTTTTAGAAGCTTTCAAGCGGTTTTGTCGTGCCATCGTGGAAGTGTTTGGAGAACGCTATCTCCGAACACCTAATGCTAATGATGTGGCACGACTACTCCAAGTTGGAGAACAACGAGGTTTTCCAGGAATGTTAGGTAGTCTAGATTGTATGCATTGGAAATAGAAGAATTGTCCAACCGGTTGGGGAGGACAATATTCCGGTCGTAGTAGATCTCCAAGTATTATTCTTGAAGTTGTAGCTGACTATGATATTTGGATATGGCATGCATATTTTGGTTTACTGGGGTCCAACAATGACATTGATGTGTTGAAGTCCTCCCATCTTTTTGCAAATCTTGCAGCAGGTACTGCTCCTCCTGCTAATTATGTCATCAAAGGAAAATCATATAATATGGGTTATTATTTAGCTGATGGCATATATCCAAAATGGGTCACTCTTGTTCAATCTATTCACGATCCACGTGGCCCTAAAAAACAATATTTTGCAAAGAAACAAGAAGTATGTAGAAAAGACGTAAAACGTGCATTTGGCGTATTGCAATCAAGGTTTGCAATAGTAGCAGGACTTGCACGGTTATGGAGGAAGAAAATATTGCATGATATAATGACTTCGTGCATCATTATGCATAATATGATCATAGAAGATGAACGTGATATTAATGCACCAATTGAAGAACGAAGTGAAGTGCAAGACGTGGGAGTTGAGATGATGAACGATGGTGGACTTGAACAGTTTCTTGTTCGACACAAAAAGATCAAGGATAAAGATGCTCACTTTAAACTTCGTAATGCATTAATTGATCATTTGTGAGACGAGTATACAAACTCAGAGAATTAGTATTATTTATGTGTTTTTTTAATCTGTGTTATTTGAACTAATGTAATCTTTTTAAATATAAAATTTATTAATTACAATTTTTTTCGTTTTTATTTTAACATTTCTTCATTAAATAAATTAATTACTAATAATTTATTATTATAATATCTATTACAAATTATAAATATTGTTATTAAAAATAGTAAATAAAATATGTTATTATAATGTGGGGTCCACAAATTTAGTGTTTTTTTATAGTGTGGTTGGAATTGAGTTTTTTTTTGTGTTTATGTGCCGACCAGATTTGATGTTTTTTTTTTGTGTTTATGTTTATGGACCACAAATTTAATGTTGTCAACATGTACATGAGATGGTTTTGCATTTGAAACGGCTGTTAGGATATATCATGCTAAATTTAGCTTCAGGAGCAAGTAACCTTTCACCACCTCAGCCATTTCAAACGATTCAATCCACAACGTACGTGGCCTTTCAAACAAGTTTTGATACTCAAGGTTCAAACACTTCAACTTGCAAAATGCCGAATTCAGATTCACCAAACAAACAACATCAACAATCAAATCAAATCAAATAAATATATTACTAATATTCTTTTTCTAAAATATATTTTTATAATTTTTCAACATAATTTTTCTAAATTTATGTTTTTATAATAAATTTTCTTCCATTAATCTTTTTACAAAAATTTACGTCTTTAACTTTTTTTCAATTTTTTTAAATGTATTTTTATAATAATTTTTTATCAATAACTTTTTTTTTGAAAGACAAAAAGGAAGGACAAGGAAGAGAGCTTCGGCATGGTCATCACCCTCACCAAGCCAACCAAAATTAATTAATAAAATTATTTCTAAATTAATTAAAATTATTATATATATTTTTTAATTTTTATAATTATATTGCTAACGTTTTATTAGTTAATAATTTATATATGTATGATTTTTAAATAAATATTTAAAACCACAAAGATAAAATAATTTAATATAAAAAAAATCATCAAAATAAGTTAATTGATAAATCAATAAATAAAATGTAAAAAGTTTGAAAATATTACAAACCAATCAAGTAGATAATTTCCATAGTACGATTACTAGATAATAGTTGCCCGTACTTATTTATTCGGGTCATATACAAAGTAGCTCATGCGGTGACACAATCATATTTGAAATAAAACCAAATTGGCACGATAGAAGGCACCATTTCCTGTCACTTACATGTAGTTTACTTTTAAAAAACGACTTAAGTAACCAAACTTTAGAAGTTCAATGATTTATTTATTTAAAGATTATGTTTACTGATTTAATCTATACTATATTATAAATCATTTGACAAAAACTCTTAAAAACCACTTTTTATGCGTAAAGTACTGTTTATTAATGCATATTACTTAAAACTCAATATTGCAAGTAGATTGTTCGTAAGTATAACTTATTATTAAAGCTTTATATATGAATTCGTGTAACTAACTGCAGATAAACATAATCAAATACAAGATAAACATCTCATTTTATATATAAAAAATCTAAAATAATTAGAATAATTATAATAATTAATTATTATCTTTATAAAATTTATAATATTAAACCAAAAATAAATTATTTCATTATTAAACTTAAATTAAACTATAATAAAAAAATGAGAACTTTTAAATAGTTGATTTGATATTAACATTGATATATTTTTTTCCCAAATTTTTATGATATCTTCAAATTTATATTTTATTTAAAAATAAAATCATTATTGTTTTTTTAAAAACACATAAAATCGTATTATAATATCAACAAAGACAACTAATAAAATAAAATATTAATAAATAAAATAATTCGTGAGGCTTTTCAAAACTTTTCCCCTTAAGAAACCAATTTTAACCCATCAAATATTCAATACACAATATTGGGGGCCTTAGGTGGGTTTCCTACCGGGCCGCTGGAACGTTTTGGGCCGGCATCCATAAGATTTGCTGTCAGTCACCGTTAAAAATCCGATTTCAGTTAATTGTTTTATGTATTTAGGTAAAAAGTTGATTATCGACAATTCCAATTAGTACCAGAAAAACAAAACAATGTGAAAGGGCATATCCCTTTACGAACTGAACTAGACACCACCACTGATACGGTGAAAATTGTTTTACAGTTTTACCTCTTGGCTCAATCCAACCACATAAACATAGCAACACACACAAGATTCATTTTCCCACCACATTCTTTACAAAATTTCAATCTCCATTCTAAAAGAAATCAATCTCTACGTAGCTGCCGGAAGGCTTCACATCTACTTCCTCCGGCGACGGAACGGGTACGTCCGGTGGAGTAGCACACCGGATAAGCGCCCAATTCACACTCTGAAAAAATGGGTGCTGTTTGATCTCCGTCGCTCCTCTTCTATACGCGAGTCGATGTTGCGGTTCTTTCACCAGTAACCCCCTGATCAAATCCCGAGCAGCAAAACTAACCGATGGCGATTCCGGAAATCTCAACGGATGCCCGACCACGTTGAACAAAGTCGCTCGGTTACTTGCCCCTTTGAACGGAGTTTTCCCGAACAAAAGCTCGTAAAGAAATATCCCGAATGTCCACCAATCGACAGCACTCCCATGCCCTTCCCCCTTGATGATCTCCGGTGCCAGATACTCGTGGGTCCCGACAAACGACATCGACCGTGCGTTCGTCGGCTCGGCGATCAGTTCCGGCAGCGGGATCACTTGGTTGTATATTTCGGTTTTGGGTTTCGACCTCTTTTCTTTCTTGGGCTTGTTCATGAAGCGCGGACCGAAACAAGAAGGTTGGATGCAGGATGGCTGGATCATGCAAGATGGCTCCATACAAGCGGGCTGGACACATGAACCTGAGCTTTTCGGTTCCAAGGTAGTGGTCACGGACCGAACCAGTTTTGGGTTCACGACGCATCTCAAAGAGAGATCAAAGTCCGAGAGCATTATGTGACCGTCTTCCCGGACTAAAACATTCTCCGGTTTCAGGTCTCTGTAAATGATCCCAAGCATATGCAGATACTCCAAAGCAAGGAGAACTTCTGCTACATAAAACCTTCACACAAATTAACCATTTTAGATGCTAAAAACGACTTAAAACGTAAGTTATACCAAAAGATTAAGAAAAGACAATTACTAACCGGGCTGCATGCTCGGAAAAATACTTCCCAGATTGTTTCTGGCGGAGAGCGTGCAAATCGCCACCAGGGCAATACTCCATCACCAAGCAAGACAGCTTCTCGGTGTCGAAATGTGCATATAAAGTGGGCAGAAATGGATGATCCAAAGATTGCAAGATTTCTCTTTCGGTTTGTGCCCTCAAGAGCTTATTCCGGCTGGCGAGAGCCACCTTATCCATTACCTTCATGGCAAAGAAGTTTCGAGTTCCGATCAACTCCGAGAGATAAACACTTCCGATATCACCACATCCCAATCTCTTCAAATGTCTAAAATGCTTCATTTCTAGCAAACCCGTCTCATTTTTGGATCGAACGACTTGAATAGCTTCCCATCTAGTGTCATTTTGCTTATGGGGTTTGTAAATGGCACTATTGAAGCTACTCGAGCTACTGTCATCACTTAGATCACTCCCGGTGCTTCCCCTATATACGCTCGTTTTGCTGCTTTCAACGTAATCACATGATTCGCTGGCTTGGCCATTTCCGACCGCTTTCTCGACAGTACTTGCAAACTCACTGACTTCTGTGCTAGTGAAGCTTTCTTTGGCTTCTGTAAACTGTGTGGCAGAATGTAAACTGCTTTGTGGGCTTGTATTGAACCCAGCGTGGCTAGGACCCGGACCCAGACCCAGACCAGGACCAGGACCAGGACCAGGACCAGGACCAGCGTCCCGGTTCGTGCCAATTGGTTCCAGCCTCTCTGGTTCATTAATGGGCTGCTTACTGGCAGATTTAGATTCTAACTCCATAATTTGTTTATGAAAGTACTCTTTTGCGGTTTGATCAAGGACCTCATTGGGTGCAACATCTTTCGAAGGTGTTGCAGGTACGATCTCCTTTTGAATGAAATCATATGTGGTTTTATAAGAAAGTTTCGAACTGCCAACTGAATCCGTACATGTCGCTGCTATCAAATGGGATGAAGATGGAGATCCTTCGGGTTTTGAAGACGGCGGCGGATGAGGTGGCCGGATTTTCGCCGGCGAAGTGAAAGGTAATATGGTTGCAGAGTTATGGGTGGTTGGCAAAGAACCAACCCCATCAACAAGGAAATCCATCTAAACCGATTCAACCACCCTACAACAATAATTGCAACTTCCTCGAATATCAATCGTATCAAGAATACAAATTTGGGGAAGAACACATTCATAAGTTCAATGTCTGATTAAACAAGTGAAGAATCTCAGGTGCATTATAGCTTTTCTACAGGGGATCAATTTAATTATGCTTCTTTAAGCAAACCCTTGAAAACTAATTGACATTGAAAGATTTATGAACATAATCAACGAATGAAGAATCACCCAGACAAGAAAATTGACAAATTCATGTGAGATGAAATGAAGTTCGATTAAGTGTTGAAATCGTTCTCTAAAGATCCCCATTTCAGTGAAAGAACGTACCTGGTTAAAGATTCATAGCAGCTGTGCCTGTATAAAGAAAGTGAAAGTAGAGAACTGGTGATCTCTGGGCAACTCTTTTCAGATGTGATCGAAACAAGAACAAGAACAAGATCAAGATCAAGACCCAGAATGGATTTCGATCAGAATTCGTCGAATCATTTGGGGAATTTTGTGGGTTTTGTTTGGGGAATAAAAAGAATACGGTCACTCTCTTGCTCCTTTCTCTCTCTCTCTCTCTCTAAACAATGAACTTCAGCCATAAGGCAAAGACGAAGATGTATAAATATTTACACGTTACCTCCCTCTTTTTTTTTTCCAACCCTTTCTCCTGTTTATGTAAACTTTTGTTTTTATAACGTCCTAAGTTTTTTTTTAATAAATGTTTGTATGGATATAAACTAACTTATTTATTATAACATAAGTTGAAGTAATTTATAAAAGAGTTTTTGTCATTTTTTTAATTATAGATTTTATTATTATTAATTATAAATAAATATTAATTATTAATAAATAATTTTTTTTAATTATTACTAATATTAATAAATAGTAATTAATATGAGTTAAAACTTATTATTTAATTTCAATTATACAATATATATTAATAATAATTTTAATTATTAATTATATCAATTATTTTTTAATTATTATTCTCAAAAATTAAATATAACAATTTTAATAATATTTATGTAAGTTACATAAAAGTTAAAGTTATACTTATTTTATTTCAAAAATAAAAAAATAATATCTAACTATTAATTACTCTTTTATATATCAACGTCAAGACTTACATCTTATATCTAAATATTGATTTAACTTGGTTTGATATAAATGGATGTACATATACCACCACCTTTTTTATAGAAAGTCATTGAAACGATCAGAATATACCTGATGTATAACAAAATAGCCATTTTTTACGAAAATTCTCAAAATAACCATATGGATCGCACTGGGGGAATGGTTTGACAATGGAGGGCGATCCTCTTCAAAATTGACCAAATAGTACGAAAAGTACAAAAAAATAATAATATAAAATTAATTTGTGGGACACACATGTATCTACTTTAGGAAACCAACACTGTTTGCCTCGATATATGAGATCTCCCCCCACCTCACCGGATCTTCTCCATGGGTGATCCATCCTTTATTTATTTTTACCATTATTTTGTCTTTTAGTGTATATTGATTAAATGTGTTTTTAATAAATAGGGGATGATTTAAACTTTTTTTTTATTGTTTTAGGACCAAATGTCATGGTTTTACTTTATAAAATAAAACACTTCTACTCTCACAACCCATAAACACAATCTACCGTGACAACCCATAAAATAATATGATTGTACGTGAAAAAACTCTAATTTTTACCATTTTTTTTAAAACGCATAAATTAACCAACGAATGTTGTTATATTTTCTTATTAGAAATATATTTTTACCACACTAAATGTTGATATTTTATAATAATTATGGACACTAAAAAAATTATTGTATCTGATTCAGGGGAAAAAATCAGATATTATATCTGATTTACGTAGTTTGATCGCTATTTCGTCTTTTAGTGTATAAATTTATTTGACAATTAATGGATGTTTTTAATAAATATGGGACGATTTAGACTATTTTTTTAACTGTTTTAGGACCAAATGTCATGGTTTTACTCTATAAAATAAAACACTTCTACTATCACAACCCATAACCTGTAAACACAATCTACTGTAACAACCCTTAAAACAATATGAAAATACTTGAAGATTTAAAAAATTTACCCTTTTTTTAAACGCATAAATTAACCAACGAATGTTCTTATATTTCTTATAAAAAATATATTTTCTATAAACACTGAATGTTAATATTCTATAATAATATTCTAAAAAATTAGTTTAAATCGTCCCGTGTTTATTAAAAATGCCCTTAATATTAATTAAAAAACAAAATAGCGGTAAAAATAAATAAATAAATCAGGATGGATCACCCCGGGGGAAGATCTGGCGAGGTGGGGGCGATCTCATATATCGAGGCAAACAGTGTTTGGTTTCCTAAAGTAGATACATGTGAGCCCTACAAATTAATTTTATATTATTTTTTTTTTGTACTTTTCGTACTATTTGGTCAACTTTGAAGAGGATCACCCCATGGTCAAACCATGCCCCAGGGCGATCCATATGGTTATTTTGGCAATTTTCGTAAAAAATGGCTATTTCGTTAATACATTAGGTATATTCTGGTCGTTTTGGTGTTTCCCCTTTTTTATTGCACATAAATCGGAACAGGGAGAATGTCCCATTTATGTGTATGGACTTGTATTCGTTTCCTTTGATTTTGAGGCACCAATCTTTCAAGAAGTTTGATTTCACCCAGAAAACTAGTAGATACTTTCGTTACTTCTCACTAGGTTTCTTTCTATACATCCCTTGTTACCTAAAAGAAACAAGAGTCTTAGCTATCATCAACAATTTTGCTTTTATCATTCTTTATATCATAATTTTAATTGAAACTTAGAGGTCGTTTACCAAACGCTTACTTGGGTAAGTGATTTTCAAGTAACATTACCTCACCGAATGAATATACTAAGAACCAATAATCTTATTCGGTAAGAACGAGACAAAGACCAAAAGTCTTACTCGGTAAGTGAGGGCGACGACTTTTACCACTGTAAGCGCTACTGGGTAAATTGTTGCATACGATGTCGTTTTGGTGGATTAAAATCTTACTCGATAAGTAAATAATAGTATTAAATTTTACCGATAAGCACTTACCGGATAAGTGTTTGATAAACGGCCCATTAGTAATCACCAGTTAAAAAATCTTAATCCAAGTAATAGACCTGATGGTCTAATCAAATATGAGCTTCTGGATTATCTGATTAATTGACATTAATAAAAGTGTATCATCTTTTAATTTCTCACAAGTGGCTTCTAATTCTTATTGCAAGCATATAAATTATTTGTTCCTTATAACCAAGATGTGTAGTTTTCTTGTTTTGCAAACACATAATTGTCATCGTGATCAATTATTTCAATCCATAAACTGTTCAAAAACATCGTAGTTAGTACGTTATATAACCATCATAATCGACAATTTTGTTGTGTTAGATATCATCGAAATCCAACTATGTTTCTTTTTGTTAACCATGTATGTTTAGACCAGTTTACACGCACTTCGACTAAACCTAAAAGCACTGGAGAACAACGATACGAATCTACAACTATGTTTGCGTGTCATTTTGATGTTGTACAATAAATTGTAACCCTAATTTCCTTGTGAAATAAGTAACCCATGGCTTTGTCAAGTAAGTTCCAAGGTTTTCGGGTTAATTTACGTGCACTGGTTAATCTCCATATCAATAAAATCCATTACTTTGAAGAACATCTTTAGAGCTAATTAACTTTGAATTTGATATCTTACTTTTTTTTGTATTGTATTTTGTAACTATGATTAATCTTGTTTTATTATTAATTTTTATATTATATTATATTATATTATATTATATAAAACTAGTGTTCGATATCGCGCGTTGCGCGATGACGATAATTTTTTTTAAAATTATTGAAATTAGCTAAATGAGTCGTTGATCACATTTATATATTAAATTAATAAGAATCAATATTACATTTGATATATGAATCCACCCACATCATTTTGATTATCAATATATTTTATACGAATTTTACAAAACAATATATTAATCCTGAATACGGTGGAAACAGCCCCGGAACACACATTGTTTCGAACCACTTAGAGTCATAACTGAATTTTTGACCTTTCATGAAAGTTGTAGTATATAGTAAGGGCTTTCTAACTGCAAAATACGAGTTTATTCTGACTTACAGTTTGTGAGTTATACACTGTCAAAGTACAGAAGTTGCACTATCAGTAAAATCTAAATTCACAATTTCCCAACTAACTTTTATGATCCCAACTTCGCGTATTCAATCAAACGGGCAATTTTCTCCCCGACTATGGGTCCCATACTACTCCCCATTAACTGAAAATCCATAATCCTAATTGCTACGGTAATACCTTTTAGTTACCTTATGTCTGTTTCGCGTATTCAAACAAACGGGCAATTTTCTTCCCTACTATGGGTCCCATACTACTCCCCATTAACTGAAAATCCATAATCCTAATTGTTACGGTAATACCTTTTAGTTATCTTATGTATGTTTGAACAACTTCGGTTAATCTTGTCTTTCTTATTATGATGTACTAAAAATTGATTGAAACTCGTGTGTTTGGTCATTTAGTAAATATACTATTTTTTAAATAATATATAAGAGTGTTATGTAAATAATATAATCGACAATGATCATAAGGTATTAGAAGCATTATCTTCATTTTATTTAACTACATTAATTATAATCAATTTATTATTATTTAGAAACAAATATAAA